ATATCAGAATCGTCAACAACAGAGTATACAGATAAGATGTTATCATTTAATTCCTTCCAAAGATAAACACTATGCAAATATCCACGAAACGGCAGTTGTAGTCTTTTCTGCTAGTGTTTTAAAACACTAATTTGAGCAACGCTATTCGTAATTTCGATCTTTTGTAAACCTGGGGTGATGTATCAAGGTCTAAAGTAACCGTTTTATCAATTTTTGAAAAATCAAGAAAAAAGTGAAAATTTCCCTTCTCGCTACCTTAATACATGTATGATTGGAGGGATAGACTCTAATGTTACATCATGGCAAATTGACAAGTTGACTCAAGTTAATCCAGAGAAGGACATTGTCTAGCTCATTTTTGATGTTGATGATAGTTTGCGATTGTTTACACAAGTAACGAGTTAGCTGAGTATGATATAACCTCACCGATTTTTAATGTGACCATAAAATATATGCGCATTATGAAACCACGTTCATCACACATGCGCACTCGGTTTGTTTAGGTGTGAAAGGTCAAAATACGCATTTCACAAACAGAAAACGTTGATTTCACAGATTTCACATGTTTTCATTATTAGCAATTGTAACATAAACAAGATTTCGAGCGTCTACAACAAAAATTCCTAAGAACTCCTAAAAAATATTATCTCAGAGAAAGTGTCTAGGCATGCTCTTCTTTCGGAAATATCTTTTCTTTTGGTGTTCGCCAATGCCCGTTAGAAGAAAATTTCAAATAGTCAAACCCACGCACTGACGATGGTCCCATTTAATAATGTAATCTTTATTGTCACAGTCAATCATTGAATATGTCTCATCATCATTACACATACAAAAAGATTCATGATAGTTCAGTTCTTCTTCAATCGATGTTATATCTGCCAATTGTCCATTAAAATTCGCCAAGATCTCTGGAAACAACAACATTCCAACTAGACGTCATTTTCAATCTTGTGCATGCGCAGTTCGTCTATTGCTACCGGACATGCTCGAAATTAGCGTACCCTATTGTAAGAAGATGCCAAAAGCTAACAAGAACAAATGTTTGTGACCAAACATTGACAAAGGATCATAGGGTAAAGCTAAAACAATAGCGTGGTGGCTCCTTCCTTTAGTACCTTCCATGACTGAAGTAACACCATAGTGAATATAACATTGTGGGAGAGAAGGCCTTATACCTAGTGTAACACCGTATCATGGCAAATTAGTCAATTTTGTTTTGAATTCACAGAAGAAGACTGGTGATAATACCATCTTAGTGAGAGCCATGGATAGGTTTCATCGTAGGTTACAAGCCATTAATAGATTGTTACCAGAATGCAATATAATGGAGCAAGGAACTGATATTGTTTCCAAGGCTGCCAAGGATAGAGTACATCACTATATCTGTAAAATACAACAACACTTTGCTGGTATGTCATGTTATTCATATGCATTTATTGAATATGCATTAGTAAAGCTTTTATTTGAGAATAACTGTGTGATTACAATTCATATGAAAATAAGATGGAAATTTTAAGTTTTGCATTGTCAGCAAAACTGATTTAGTAACTTGGCCAAAAATTATTTCTGAAAGTTATGGCATTCACAAGTTATACTGATCAAAAGCTGGCACATTGCATCATTTATTAACTTAAAGTGCCTGTGCAATGTCCACCTTCACGTTTCCCATTTTAGATCTGTGTCCCACTGAAATGGGCAGTTATTGATTTTTTTGCTGAAAATGATTACTCGTATCCAAGTAAATTTGAGATGTTTCTCGTGTTGTAGCCACGGCCACCTATCCTGAAACGGTAGACGTATAGTCATAGTGTAAGTATTTACACGTTTCTAATCGATCCGAAAGTGCGACATCAGTCATGGACCTTCCATGCATCAGTGGACGAAAGCCACTTAACCTCAGCTTTTTTTTTTTTTGGAAAAACTGTCCTCGTCCATGAAAAAAACAACTAGGTTTAAAGAGAAACGCCGACAACATAAACCTGGCACAACACTTTTGAAAGAAATAGATTCCGGACCATAATCACCAAGGCGAATTTCAGAAGAGAGAGAGAGGCGGCAAGTGTTTCAAATGAGTTGACTGTTTTTGAGATCTTGATTATCGTTTAGTCCCTGTTAAGTAAAGAGTAGCAATAATTTTGACAGTGACACGAAAACGAAGCGTCGGACAACAGGAAATTACACAGCCCTTACACACTGCTAATTGTTTTCATTTTCGAAGGCTAAAAGTTTCTGAATCGTTTGGTGATTGGTGTTGAATGTCGAATTCACACCTCTGTTCTTTTTTTACATCCATGCTTGCAGCTTGATCTGCGTAATAATTTATGAAATAAGAATCCGGGCTTGGTCAATGTGTTTCCACTAAATAAAGTTTTAATATGATGTTATAATTATGACAATTACGCCATGGATCATGCTAACTCGAATCCACTCTGAATTTATCTGTATGTGTGTCGATCTCGATTATTTTTGTTATCCAATTAAACGCCGCTTTTAACGCACTTGCCCTCGTCGTGACCCGACGCGTTCACCTATTTCAACAAAATTTCAATTTATTTCCACGCTGCTGTCATTTATTTAGTAACTGTGATTTGTCATTTTTTAAATTATTTTTTAGTGATCACTATAGTCTAATGTTTAGAATGTCAAAATATGTTCTCTTTTATTTTAATTTTGAAAGTTTTACTCAGACGATCCATGAAATAAAACAGTGTAGTGATGTGCCTAGTAACCTATTTTGTCC